TAATTATAATGTTTTATAGTATTAATACTAAATTCCTCTGATTTCATTTTCAATACAATCAAAAACTGAGACGGCAAGTTGCATTTGAATGAAACGAGAGAGCGCGTCTGCGCCTCCGCAGTGATACAAGAGACATGGATGTGCGCTGTGTTATAATGCGTTGCTACTTTTCTAAAGACAGTAAGTTCCCCTCAGACATGTATTCATATAAACTCCTACACCTAAATGAATCGCGATTTTTTTAGCATCTCAACCGATTTGAATCGTCACATATAGAAAATACATACAGTATATATTTAGAAAATATTTACATATATTTACATGTAGGCCTATATATTTATATTCATATAATTTAATTTATATATGAATATATTTAATATATGAACATAACATTTTTCTTAAACATATACATGCATGTGTGTCTATTTATATATACATAATAAATAATCACAGTACACACACATATATTATGTAAACAAATACTTTTATTTTGGATGCGATTAATCGCGATTAATAATTTGACAGCACTAGTTAACACATTGTTTTGTTTGTTATTTTTGGGCTCCCATTTCCATAGGTAATTTGGACTACACTTTTACTACTTACAATTTATTTGTTTTCTTTTTGTCTGTTAAATAAAAGATCGCTTTATGGCTATCATTTTTGAGCAACAAAATGGAGTTGTATATTGATTCTAGGTCTGGAGACGGATACATCAACGTCTACCCTCCTTTCATTTAATTGTTCGTTTCTATATGGTCCCCCTAGACTAATTTAGAAATGTAACAATTGGGGGCTCGTCCGGGGTTCAAAATTGTGTATTTGTTTCTATTTGGTTGGACGTTCGTGTCATAATTTTTAATGAGGAGTGGCTGCTCGTTGATAATGTGACGTGAACGTTCTATTGAAAAAGGACAGCGCTGCTCGAAGGTAGGTCCAATTCCTTTTGCTTATCCTGGTCTGTTTTGGGTGGTCTTCGCTTTAGGTGGAGAGGTAGAGGGGAATGGAATTTGATTTAATATCCTTTACCCTTTCTCCATCTTTAGAAGTTTTTGAAAAATGTAGAAAAAAAGATTTATTGTTAATTGCAGAGTTTTTTAAAGTCACCCTGTGGTCAAATATTTTATCCCTTAAAACTTATTTTGAACATCAAAATGACATATTTAAATGTTTTTTCTTGTGAAAATAACTTTCTCATGCCTTAAGCTTAAAGAATTGGATTTGATCATAAAAAAAGGCAGAGACAACAAACAACACCAGAACACAGAAACACACTAAAAAGAACCATACGTCACAGGACGTAACACATAAAATTCAAGGCATTAATGTTTGCCTACAAAACCACCACTGGCTCTGCACCCCTTAACCTAAATTCATTACTTCAGACTTGTGTGCCCTCTAGAAGCTTGCGTTCTGCAAGTGAACGTCGATTTATTGTGCCATCCCAAATAGACTTTTAAATTAAATGTTCCCTCCTGGTGGAATGACCTGCCCAACTCAATGCGAGCAGTTGAGTCCTTAGCCATCTTCAAGAATCGGCTAAAAACACATCTCTTCCATCTTTATTTGACCCTCTAACTCTAGCACTCTCTATTCTAATTCGATTCTTTATATAAAAATAAAAAAACGTGCCCCTTTTAGACTTGCACTCTATGTATTTACTGCTTGTTTTCTTTAAAAAAAAAACTAACACTAGCTTCTCTAATCTTTTTGTATTCCATTTGTTTTCTTTTTATTATACAATTAACAAAAGCAAAAAAGGCCTCTAACACTAGCTTGCTCTATTCTTTTTCTATTCTATCTGTTTTCTTTTATTTTTTATATAATTGAAAAAACACTTGCTATGTGTACTGCACTAAGCTTAGCTAACTGAGACTTGTTATAGCACTTGTACATCATTGCTCTTTTGTTGGTTTTGATTGCTTCCATTGTCCTCATTTGTAAGTCGCTTTGGATAAAAGCGTCTGCTAAATGACTACATGTAAATAATGTTAATGTTTTATACACATTAAAAATGACTGATTTATATGAAGGCGTGATGCATGCTTTACTGGTGTAAACTGAGCCTTACCTTATCCGAATCCAGATCTGGATCTTCCTGACATAATCGATACAGAAACGATTTAGGATCCCTGCACAGGGTCTGTTTGGTTGTAACAAAGTAGGTTCCCCCGACATTGAGCCGAGCCCACCGAGATCCTGGTTTCTCTGTGGCTTCTGGTGATGGGGAAGTGGGGTTGCTCTTCCTTGGGAAACCCAAGCCGGAGACCCCTGGACTGGACAAGCCACTCCGGGGCGGAATCAGCAGTGTAGGCGAGGGGAGTCTCACGTTCACGGAGCCTCTGATTTCACAATGCTCGGTCTGCTCGATGATGCCAGTCGCGTTGGGCTCAATGTGCAACTCTGCCATATTTTCGCAGCACAAACAGTCAGTTCCGTCTTGATCAGACACTAAATGCCTTTATTTAGCGCTCCGCACGGCGCTGTTACGCTAAACACGCGCGGTTTACACGCGCTGATAATGACGACAAAAGCGTTGCGGTGTCTTAGTAACGCGCACGCGAGGCGACATAGCTTACAATTCCCAAAAACCGCTACACCGATCCGTTTTGTTTATACAAACGACCCATATAAGCTACAAATATTATGAGTGAGACTCATATCACTTCCCGGTCAAGTAAATCCATATGTGACAAAATAAAAGTCTGGATAATAATATTTGGGGGATTTGTTTTATTTTTTTTATGTCAAGGATAATGTGGGTATTATTATTTTAAACTAAAACAATTAACATAACTGCAATAAAGCTGAAATTAAGTAAACTATAAGTATTAGACTTAAAAAAAAATTACACTTCAACAATTGCAAATGAATGAATGAAAAATGCTGCATTGGTAACTAACCGAAATAA